AAAAACCCAGAGGAAAGGAAATGGGGTTTGAATGTCAACTTTGTAAATGGCTTCTGCTCCTCGCGCCCCCTGCCCCCATCCCGGCCCTTTGACTCTAGCAGCACTCAAGGAAAAGGAAGAGTCTAGAACCCCTGGAGCGGGTTTGCTATCTTTGGGTCCGTTCCTTGCCTTTGTGACTTAACCGCTTGGCTCCGCCTCCTGGAGGCAGCACCTGGCATGGCAGCGCATGTCCCCATGGAGAGGAGGGATCCCTACGCCATCCGCTCACAGCCACCGAGAGGTCTGTCCGCTCACAGCCTCCAAGAGGGGGATGCATGGATGGTGGGAGATCATCCCGTGGTGGTCTCTCACTGCAGCCGCCAGGCCACCCGCCCGAACCCCTTCTGCAGCCAGGCAGCCCCCACAATTGGCTGGGCTCCCTGTCCCTTCAGCTGGACCTCCTACTGTTTCATGGAGATGAAACCATGTCAGATGGAAGGCCAAGGGTGGCCTGGGCTGGAAAAAGAGGTTTTTTTCCAGCCACAGGGTTTTGAATTGCGGTTGTGCCTTTACTAGGTGTGTGAGACCCTAACCTCTCGGTGCCTCAACTTCCTCATCTGTAAGATGGGCACAAAGACTCCTACCCTATCCTCATAAGGATTGCCGGCTGCAGTGGGAGCATGCGTGTAAAATGCTTGGTGTGGACGGGGGATAGGCTGTTGGCAGTGGTATAAATGAAGGGAGCATTGAGAAATGGAGCGAATAGAAGGCCTCCTTAATGCTGACTTCCTGTGGCACCCCACCTTGTCTGGCTACCACCCCTCCCCCCACCTCCAGATCTCAGCCCAAATGCCACCTCCTCAGGGAAGTCTTCCTGGACCACATCTCCCCGGGAAGCCCTGACCATAGGAGAGACACTGACCCTGGGGAAGGGCAGAGGTAGTTTTTCTAATAAATGGCTTCCTTGATAAAGACTCTTCAACCTGTAGCTGGCACTCTGGTGCCAGGTGCTAGGTAATGCAGGTTTTAATGCCTCATTACATTTGGAACAATTAAATACCAGGAAGCCCCCTCCAAAGGCCTCATAGGCCTCTAGCCTCCCTCCATCTGGAGTTAAAATGCCCCGAGGAAGGACCGCCATCCCCCACCCCGGTCACCCAAGTCTGTCCCGCATGCAGTCTCTGCAGTGCTAGGTAAAGCCAGTGGAGCCGTGCTTCCAAAGGCCTTTGCCTTCTGCAGCCTGCACGTTTGGGTGGAGAATAAGCTGGGGAAGATGTGAGACGTTTCCAGAGAAAGCTCTCAGCTGGGAGGTAGGGTGGGCTGCCACTGGACCAGGAACTTGGGCCTGAGCCCCTGGGTGACAGGGCAGTTCCCTGGTGAGTGACAGGCAGTGGGCTAGTCCTTTGCAGTCAGCTGACCAGCCGCGGGGCTGCGAGCATTTGCACCTGACGGGGGAAGCTGGCTCAAGTGTGAGGGCTAGAGATGGACAGAAAGGGGGTTTCCGATAGAAAGGCAACCGTTCAGGGAGCTGACAACGGTCTTTACCCATCAGCCTTTACGGGAGGCCAGAGGCTCTGGACACATGGGCTTCTGGACTGCGGTAGCCGGCTGCCTGCTTCAGAGAGTGGCAGATGGCATAGCCAGCTGCGGGAGGGCTGTCTGCTGTCCATCTCTCTGCATCCCGGGGGCAGTGGGATGACTACACAGCACGCATAGCTGGCTTCTAGAAAGCATGGTTGGCAGACTGGCACGGGAGGAAGACGGACATGTGGATGTCAGTTTGGCCAGTCTGCGTGCCCTGGGGCCCATGCCTCAGTTTCCCCA